ACAGGGTGGGGATCAGTCACAGGACTGGATGATCCTGAAGCTCTTTCCCATTCCATAATTCTATGAAAGGCTGACCTGACTCTAAATTTTATGTTGTTAGCCTAAAATAGAAACAATTTGACAGTGTAAGTTTTCCTGACAGTCATGAATATCACATTTTCGTGCTATGAGTTTCCTTTTTTTTTTTTTTTTAATTAAGAGTAATTTTTTAAAATTAAAACTAATTCCAAGGAATGCCTTGGTCTCGGTGATAAGTGAGGTTTGCCTTGCCTTGGCAGGGGTAGGTGTAGCTTTCTGCAACTTGCCTACAAAGCTAAAGAAATGCAAAGCAGCTTATTGCTTAATTCTGCTGACTTTAGCAACTAGGGAGGACAAATTAAAAAAAGAAAAAGGAGAATATCTAGTCTCAACCTGGGCATTTAATGGGTCCCAAAATGTGCTGAACTCTTTAGTCTAAATGGGCTCTTTAGTGTGGTGTCAAATAAGTTAAAAAGCAAGGGAGCCTCACAAAGCTGCCTTCATTGTTTAAACTTGTTTCACTCATGTTAAGGCTAATGTACATTTATTCAGACTGACAAAGTGCTGAATTTACACAACAGGGATAGTAATAATTAGGTCAGATACTTTTCAAATGGCAGGGGGGGGTGGGAATACTTGACTCTTTCATGCTTATGAATGGCAATGATTATTAGCTCTGGCCAGGCCAACCACAATACCTGCAAATATTCCTCTCACCCCGTGTGCCACCTCCTTGCTCCCTCCCTGTCTGCCCCAGCTGCCGGCAGAACTCGGCATTCCCAATGGCAATAATTGGATTTTTAGTGAGCCCAGAGCTGAACTTTGCATCTCAGCTCCTCGTCACTGCTGGGATCTGACTGGGACCAATAAATTATATTAACAAAATTGAAAACTCGCCCATTAAAGCTGCATTTTCTGTTCAGCTGGATGAGGTTGAGCTCTGATCTTTCACTTCAGACTACCCAGTTCTTACACATTTATCGTGTTGCCCTTAACCATTCCCACCCCAGTGTCCTGGGGGAGATGAGGTGTCCACTTCTCTCACCTTCCTCAGGTATTTGGTGCTGCTGACTCCTAGGACAGAACCCCGGATTAGTCAGCCCGTGGAGCTCATCCAGCACAGCAGGATTTGTTTCTCCAAGAGCTTTTTTTCCCCTCCTCGTCTTTCCTAATATTTGAACAAGCAAGCGCTGTTTAATTCAGTGCCGCCCGATCTGCTCGCATTTGAATTGCTGTCAGCAGCGGCCCGGGCTGCTTGGGCCATTTCCTCCCCCACTGAGATTTTAAGTACCCCCAGCTCATTTGGTTTGCATATTCCCGTTCCTTAAGGAATCCTTAAACCCTTCCCGGCGCTCCATCCATCCCGCTGGATGCAGCGGGGAGGTTCCATGGTCATCGCCAGCCGGTGCTCCAGTGGTCAAAATCCGCAAAAAAAGCTGGAATTTCACTGAATTAACCAAGTTTCAGTGCCGCACACACCTTTTCCCCCAGCTCCTGCGAAGGAGCGCCTGTAAATGAGGGATTTGTTTGGTTGTTTGTTTTTATTTTGTTTTATTTACGGAATTCGGAGCCAAAATCAGCCCGCGGGATGAGGCCGGGCTGCGCTTCCGGCCCGTGGCCACCAGAGGGCGGCAGCGGCGCGGGCACGGCGGCGGCGGGAGCGGGACGGACAGAGGGACGGACAGGGGGACAGAGGGACAGAGGGGACAGAGGGACAGAGGGACGGGGGGGATAGAGAGACAGAGAGGGACAGAGAGGGACAGGGGGGACAGGGACGGACAGAGGGACAGAGAGACAGAGGGACAGGGCGGACGGCGGGGGGACAGGGGGGGACAGAGAGGGACAGGGGGACAGAGAGGGACAGAGGGACACAGAGGGACAGGGGGACAGAAAGGGACAGAGGGACGGGGGACAGAGAGGGACAGGGGGACAGAGAGGGACAGAGGGGACAGGGGGACAGAGGGACAGGGGGACAGAGGGATGGGGGGACAGGGGGACATAGGGGACAGAGAGGGACAGGGGGACAGAGAGGGACAGAGGGGACAGAGAGGGACAGAGGGGACAGAGGGACAGAGGGACAGAGAGGGATAGAGGGACAGGGGGGGACAGAGGGACAGAGAGGGATAGAGGGACAGAGGGACAGGGGGACAGGGGGACAGAGGGACAGGGGGACAGAGAGGGACAGAGGGGGACAGAGGGACAGAGAGGGACAGAGAGGGACAGAGAGGGACGGGGGACAGAGGGACAGAGAGACAGAGAGGGACAGAGAGGGAATAGAGGGACAGAGAGGGACAGAGGGGATGGGACGAGGGGGGAACAGGGAGGGGACAGAGCCAGCACACTCCAGCGGGTCCCTCCGCAAAGCCCCAGCCCAGCCCTTCCAAAGGAGCCTTTGTGCCACCTCCCTTGTGCCATCTCCTTTGTGCCACCTCCCTTGTGCCACCTCTCTCTGTGCCACCTCCCTGCGGCGCCGGGTGCCGGTGATGTGGCACCAGGAGCCGCTCTGTGTCCTCTGCCGGGAAATTCGGGTTTTTGGGGAGAAATCCTCGCTCTGCAGGCAGGGAGAGGCAGAGCCCGGCTCTCCGTGCCACCACTCCCAGTGACACCAGCAGGATTCATTTCACTGCTTCCTACACTGATTTTTCAAAGCGAGTGGGTCAGAAAATAAAGTTTGTTACACAGAAAATTCCAGTCTTGCAGAGCTTGTTTCCATCCCAAATCAGAATGAAAAGCACAAACTACTCCCTCAAGAAATGTTCTGTTAGATGATGATTTGGGAGAGTTGTTCCAGCGATGTTCAAATATTTTCTTAATAAAAACACGCTACTCAGAGAATTAACATTGCATATGTTGTAATTTGAAATGAAATCAAACATTTTGCTCTGTCACCTCCTAAAAACAGTGCAAATAGCTGCATGTTTAGGATTTAAATCCTATTTCCTGGCATCTCTATTAATTTGAAACATTTTCTCCTTGCAGTGTTTAGTGCTTCACATTTGATTTGGAGAGATCCCAGAGTCAAGTTGGAATTTCAGAAACAAAAGAGGGAAAGAAGAACTTGTCTTCTATTTTAGGGTCCTGCAGTACTGGAAATGCAAAGGCTGCAGAGTGAATATTTAATGAGTGCATGAGAATCCAAGAAAGTGTAAAGCAAATGCCATGCAGCAGTCACCTTGCCTCCTTCAACTAGAGCAGCATTAAGACATTAAAAATAGATTTACAGGTTTCATAATGCGATTGCAACATTCACACAGGTTGGGATTTTTAATTTAACTTTGAACTGGATCATGCAGATTGCAGGGAGACCAGAATGGACTTTATTCTAATGGGAGAATTTGCCTTATGCAGGATTAACATATCAAAGGCAGGGCAGGATTTTGGGAGAAGATGGCACAATGATCTGGCTGCTGTGCGGCTGGAGAGTCTCAGACCGTGGATTTGGGTGGCATTTGGCATTTGCTCTGCTCTTGTCACGTTCCTTGTGTTGCCCACTGGGCTGAATTTTCCTTCAGCCTTGCCTTGGTGTTTGAGGTCTGGGCAAACAGAGGTGGCACCACCCTGGTTTAAAAAAATAGCTGAAACATGAAGAAAAGGCAGGTTTTTGGCACTGCTGGCTGGGTGAGTTAATCAATACCATCCCCTCCTGGTTCCTCCCTCCCAGGTGCCACCACACCCCCATGAGGGGCAGCTGATGATGTTGGTTGGCTTCAGCATCACTCCAAAAATGACTGATGGGAAAGGAGCTCGAGGCAGGTGGGCACTCCCAGAATCTGTGTCCCAGCAGGGGTGGGCAGCTGCAGCATTTTGGAGGTGCAGTGGGAAAGGTGAGGAGCAGAAAGGGCAGGTCCTGACTCCAGGATGGTGCAGGGCATCCTTGCTCTGGATGCTTCCCTTGGGGATACATCTGGGGATAACTGCTGCCCTCCAACCAGCCACAGTGATGGGATCCTCTGCTGTTCCACCCCAGCAGGATCAAACAAACCCTCCCCACCCACCACAGAGAGGCAGGACACCCCTCTGAGCCCCCCATACGTGCCAAGGGGGCATTTTGTGGCTGTCAGGCTTTACTTTGCACCCCAACACGAGGCCACCTCCCAAGGGAGGATATCCACCGGCCCAGGAGCAGGCTGGTGTGAAAATAATGTGAAAATGTGAAAATCCACCTCTTTGAGCAGAGGTTCTCCTCGACAGCTGGATTCCCAGCATCACATTAGTGAGTTTTTCCTGGCAGGGTGGAAGAAAACTCTGCCTCCACTCAGCCCTCGCTGCTGAGGTGAATTCTGCTGCTCTGTCACCATCACAGGGATCATTCCCGTTTCCCAGTCAGAAAATGATCCATGTGAAAACAACGATGGCATGAACAAAAGGAATGATGAACAATTTGTCTGAGAACTCTGGTGCCTTCTGGGAAGCGCCACATCACCCCAGCAGGAGCCACCCCTCAGCAGGGACAGCACGGGCACGGAGTGGCATTGAGCAAGAGGCTTGACCAGAGCAACCATCACTGATTTCAAAACAATCTGGGGCAAAATGGGAGCAGGCAGGGCAGAGCAGGGCAGACTTGCTGCTCACACAACTGCTGGAGATCACTTCATGCAGATATGCAACAGCTGCACCAAGTTTCGTGCAGGGACTTGCCTTTGTATTGGATTGGAGTGTGGGCACGGGCTCCTGCAGGGAAGGAATGCTGCTGAAAGGAGCAGGGAGCCTGCTGCAGCTGCAGCCAGGAGAATTCCTGCTGAACTGGGGCTCCTGAGGGAGAGGTGACCACGGCTGGGGCAGCAGCTTGGCTTGGTATTGTCAATGCAGGTGAACCCAATGGGAAGGAATGGCAATGGGAAGGATTGGATTGGATTGGGTTGGATTGGATTGGATTGGCCACCAGGCTCAAACCATCCTCACAGAATCCAACCAAGCAATCACCCCAGGTAAACAATTCTCCAAACACATTCTACATAGGAAAAACAAGGAGCAGAAATAGAAATTGTTTTTTCTTTCATTTCTCTCTGTGCACCTCTATGAAGAATCCTGAGAGGGAGAGAAACGTGCTGCCACAGGTTGGGGATTGGCTGTGAGCTGGGCTGTTTCTTTACATCTTCAGAAATGGAAAATCAGGTGGTTTGTGAGCTGGTGGTGCTGCTGCCTGGCTGAGAGCTGTCCTGAGGATAAGGATGCTGTGCTTTGCCAGAGCACAAATTAAGCTCTTGCTTTAACACTTGGCCTTTTTTTGAAATCTCCACTTTCCAGCCAGCTACAGCAGCTCAGGGCTTCATGGGCCTTTTCCAAACAGCCTGTGCGTGATAGCAAAGAAAAATAAACTTTGGTTCCCTGTGTGCTGATCCTCACATGCACTGGGAAGAGGCTGAGGAATCACCAGAGTGGAGCTGCTGAGAGCTGGCCTCTGTTAGCAGCTAGTCAGAAACAGCAACCCTGAGTTTGAAGGGCACAGACACTGCCCAGAGTGCTCATTGTTAACACCAAAATGTTGGATTTTGATGCTGCAGCAAAGGAGGTTATGCCACATAAGACACCCAAGTCTGTGAAAGTCACGGGGGTTTTATCTGATCTTTTTGCATGATCTCTTTGCCTTGTTTCTTCTAAAGCAGAAATCACCTGCCTGAGGAGTCTGGGCTGGTCAGAGGTTTGAGATCCATCCACAGTGTTGGGTAAAATTTGTGGTAGCATTTACAACTGTATTTGCTGATTTTATCTGTTCATCTTTTCACGTTCTCCTGTATTTAATGAGAGGTTTGTTTTGGGTTTTTGTTTTTTTTTCTGAGATAAAATTTCAGATTTATCTGAAACAAAGGAGCAAGTCCTTGTGAAAGGGATTCATTCCTCCCCATCAGAGCTGGGTTCCAGACTCAGAGATTATTTAAACTGTTTTCACTCATTCACCTTGGAGCATTCCCATAGGATTTTTAACCTCTGAGCATGTTTCCTTTCATCAGCAGGGATTGCAGAAGTCTGCAATGACTTTTTCTCCTTTGGTGCAAAAGTTAAACATGAATTTATGATGTGATTGCGCCGAGATTTCAGAACTGTGCTGCAAAAATCGAAGTTGCTGTGATCTTACCTGCCTGGAGATTACAGGCAAATAACACTTGCTAAACACCCCATACCTGAGATGATATATTGAGCTCCTGAGTATTTTTATTAAGCTGTTCTGAAATTATTCCCAAAGGATGCAAACCTCGGCTTAGCTACAACTGCTACCCACAGTCTTTAAAGAACATTCTGAAACCTTTTTGCTAAACAATCTGCTCAGCTGTTACCAAGTTTTACCCAATATTCAAATGACACTTCTTCCTTTTCAACCCTTGCCAAGCTGAGGTTATTAAGAAAGAGATACAAATTAAAAGGATTAAAAATGCAACTCTAATTAAACACATATGAGCAGTTAAAAGTCAGCTCTGCCCTGGTTATCTGTGCACGCAGAAATATCACACACAACTTAAAACAGCCAAAAGTCTCCATTAAGAGCTTGCTGAAGGCACCACCAGGGTAATAACACACTGTGCCTTCTCTGCAGCTTCCTCTGGGTAGAACTTGAAATATTTTTTAGGATGAGATGAGCCATTGCTCTCCCCACTTGCAAAGAAGAAGCAGCTGAGGGTGGGAGGAAGGAGAGGAGCATCCTCCCCTTGCAGCCTCCCTGAGCTTGAGCTGCCTGAGCCCATCCATGGAGAGGAGCTCTGGTTGTCCCCAAAAACTGTGGGGGTGGCTCACCTTTCCCAGCAAACCTGGGGTTTCTTTTCAGAAGAATGTGCAACAAAAACACATCGAGCCACGCTGAATTTCTATGACGAAAGTGAGTTGGTATCTCTTAAATAAAGTATCCAAACAAGCCCTTGAAGACACATAATCACCAAGCAGCATCTGTGATCACAGCTCGGCGTTTTAAAGGATTAGGGGGGGATTAGGACGTTTGTAAATTCCTCACCAACCTTTTGTACAGGCAGGATGGAATATTTTTTAAAGAATTCAGGGACTGTCTGTTAAAAGCCTTTATTCCCCTGATTTGTGCTGGGTGTGGACAGCTTTGGGATTTTTTAAAAGGTAGCATAACATGGCTCATCAATCTAGGCTGCATATAAATCCTGCTTTGTATGATTCCTAATCAGTTTTGAGGGCTTTCTGCTCCTCATGAAGAATGGAAAAACCCCTCCTTGCACTGGAGAATAACAGGTCCTTTCATTCTGCTGCTGGTTAAACACCCCACCCAAGGGAAGGATATCACCTAGGGGAAAAAGGGGAGCAGGGTTTGAGCCCCAAGAAGTGTTCCAGAAAAACCTCTCATGTTCTGGTCCTTGTGGGCCCCACGTATCATGATTGGCTTGAACATTCACAGGAAATAATCAGGGTTCACCAGACAGGATAACAGGATTTTCCTGCTCTTTGTGGGGTGGGAGAAGAAGCTGGACAGGGAAGGAGAGGAACACCCTGCCCCGTGCCTGCATCCAGGTGAGGTGAGCTGGCATCCTTTGGATGCACTGAGGATGAGGCAGGGATGTTCAGAGCATCCCTTGGGCCAAAGGAATAGGAAATAATACATTAAAAAAAAAATCTGTTTGCTTGAATGGTTCATTCTTCCACATTCCTTTTGGCTGTTGTCATCTTCTCCCCAAAGCTGCTGAGGGTGGAATTCCTGTGCTGCCCAGCTCTGCCTGTAGCTCCCAGCAAGGTGCAGCAATCCTTGCCTGCCTGCAGATTTGCCAAGGACAGGGCAACAAGAACAGCCTGCAAACTGTGGGCTGAGCTTTTAGCTAATTTTTGTTTTCCAAACAAAAAAAAAAGTCTGAATGTTCAAAGCTCTGCAACTGATATTTCCTCTATAATTTTATCACTTTTTCTTCAGCCTAAAGCTAATCTTGAACATGAAATCTGCTTCTTGTGTGTGATCTCCTGCTCACCTGGAGACACCTCAGAGCTCTGACCCTCGAGGTCTTCATGGACTGATGAATATTTCTGGACACCTCCTTAGGTGAGCAAAATCTGCCTTTGACAATTCTGCACCTTCTCATCTACTTTTCTGATTTCTCTTATTTTTATGGTTTTTACCAAGGTGCAACCATAAGGAATTGAAAGGATGGATAGAGGGATGGATGGATGGATATATAGATATATACATAGATAACAGATAATTAGATAGATATAGATACATAATAGATTGATAGAAAATAGATGGATAAATAGAAAATAGATGGTAATAGATAATATATAGATATAGATAGATATAGATAGATGATAGATATTAGATATTTAGATAGATAGATAGATAGATAGATAGATAGATAGATAGATAGATAGATAGATAGATAGATAATAGATATCCCTGGAAGTGTCCAAGGCCAGCCTGGTCTGGTGGAAGGTGTCCCTGCCCATGGCAGAGGTGGAACGAGATGAGTTTTAAGTCCCTTCCAACCAAACCTTCTGTGATTCCATGATTTAGGAGAGTGAGGGAAGGTCCCCTCAATGTTGTCTGAGCTAGGGACTCAGGTAAAAATTGGATTTTGGTGAAAATCCAAGCACCAGCATCCTCCCTGCCAGGGAAACGGGGGGATCCCATCCCCTGTGTGTTTGACAGGTCCTTTGCTGCTTCTGGCTCTCCTGTGCTGGGATTTGGAGCAGGGTGCACTTGCCAGGTTCGGAGTGGGGAATAAGGGCACGGGGATGTTAATTTTGGTTGCTGCTTGTCCCTCAGAGGTGGCCCGTGAGTTGTGGCCCCTGGGGCCAGGCTGAAGATGTTCAGGAGCAGAAACACAACCACGGGGTTTTGTAGGGTCAGCCCTGAGGAAAGGCAGGAATTCACAGCACTTTAATTAACCTGTGGAGCCACTGCGCTGAAATGCAGTCACCTGGCAGGGAGAGCAGGGCCAGCACCCGCTGTGAGATGGGAGAAATGTCCCAGTTTGAAGCCAGAGGAGTAGGTGTGAACCTCCCCCTTAGAAATGGGGTGGGATCAGTACACACAGGCCCAGCAGCAGCCCATTATTGCTAATTGCAGCTTCACCTTTTAGCTAGATATTAAAAAATTGAGCTAATCCTTGAATATTTAATGTCCTGTTTCTTCATGAGCGCAGAGGTTAATTGGGAAATGGGAGTAACTGGAAGAGGGGGCAGGAAAGAGAGCAGCCCTGGGCTGGGGTTGGGGTGCTGCCCTCCCTCCCTGCTGGGCAGGACATGGGGAGCGCTTTAAAAAGTGAGGGTTTTCCTCTTTTTGGTCTGCTTCTCACCCCCTCCGTCCTTTAGTAATTCCTGGGTGAGGATAGTCTCCAGTTAACAGGGGGAGATGCCCTTCCCAGTGGTCATTATTGCCTAATTAGCAACTTGCAATATTTCACAACCATGATAGTGGCACCAGGCCCCTGTGCAGGGGTGGGGGCTGAGGAGCATTGGCAGCGTTTTCCTGGGAAAGCCGGGCAGGGAAATGCAGAGCTGAGGACATGGCCAGGCCCAGGAGAGGAGCCTCCAGTGCCAGCTGTGCCAGGAGGAGGAAGGGTTTTCCCAAATGCAGTGCCCAGGAATGGCCTCTCTCTCTCTACCTGGCAGGGAGAGTGGTGGCACAGGGAAGTGTATTTTAATGTCCTGGAAAAGCAAAGCAGAAAGTGCCAAGGGGGCTTTGAAGGCTCAGCTCCCTGCTGGGCATCTGGTGCCCGTGGGCATCCTCTGAGGCCACTTTAATTCCCTGATCCAGCAGAAGATTCACACAGCAGAAGCAATGCATGGAGTGACCCAGGAGCTGGGTCCTGTCTCGGGGTCTGGGTGTCAGGATGACCCCAAGAGTGTAAAAGTCCTCATTTCCCAGCCCTGCAGCCAAAGAAGGAGTCTGGATGTGTAGGATCAGCCTCTCAAGGTGGTTTATTTTCCTTATCTATACCATTCTTTCTCTGACCTGCTGAGCTCTGCCTAGCAAGTCTCCATGGCATTCTGCCTGCCCTCAGGGCAGTGTTTATATTTTATACCAAAAACTACCTGTGCTATATTTACAATAATGTGCCAATATCTAACATCTATGTTGGACAGTGTGTCTCTACCTTAAACCAATAGAAAAGTGTCACCATCACAGCATGGAGGTGACATGGAGGGCAAGATGTAGAAGGCAAGAAGAAGAAGAAGAAAGCCAGGACATGCCCAAATCCCTCCATCTTGTACCCCTGAATCCTAGTCTAAAAAAGCCCCAAAATTCTACTCTGTGTTAACTCAACTACCACACCACTCAAACCCTTGTAGTTTGTAATTCCTCACACAGAGTTGGCAGTTTTTTCCACAGGCTAAAATGGAAGCCACAGGTGCTTTTGACTTGGTGCCAGGGTCTGGAGGCAGCCAGGGCAGCCAGAGGGATGTGCTGGGCTCTGACAGTCCTGCTGCTGAGAGAGCTCAAGAAAAGGAGGATGAGAAGAAGTCTCCCACTCCCTTTTTGGCAGATTTCTGTCCCTGCAGATTTGGGGACAGGCTGTGACACCAGCACAGGGCTCTGCCCTGCTCTGGCACACCCCCAGCACCCCCCCAGCCAGCTGACCCCTTGTAAACCATGGTGATACCAAACCACTCTGCTCCAGGGTGGGCTCATCTGGCCCCTGCACGCCTCCAGACAGGATTTGGCATCTCCTGGCAGCACAGGGGCAGTCAAATCCATGTCAAAGTGAGCTTCATCTGCAGGCCCTGAGTGTGTGGTGGGGCACAGAGCTGTCCCAGTGCCTGTGGAGTGAATGCAGAGTGCACAGCTCCTCCTGGGGAAGCTGTCCTGGAGGGACAGAGCAGAGGAGCCTGGCCTGAGAGCTCCTTCCCTCTCAGGATCCTTGCAGGGAAGGATCACGAGGTGTGGAAATGTTCTCCTGTGTTAAATCACCAAATTAAAGGTGTCGAGCCAAACAGGAATACACCTGAAATAGTATTTACTGCTATAAATGATGCAGAAAATGAATGTGGATGGAATTCTGCTGAGCCATTCTGAATGCACTTTGCAGGTTGTTCACTGGAGGTCCTTGGGCTGCAGCCAACGTCTCTGTTTACTTTGGAGAACCAGAGTCCTTTTATTTGTGCTAATAGCCCACCTGTGATAAGAGAGAAAAAGAATAGAGATAAAAATAGCCTGTCACTGCAGCATTGCTGAGGGTGGGAAGAGCAGGGCAAAGCAACTGAAGGTTCTGAGTTGAGAAGGAGCTTTTAAAGGGTCACAGGTGATGATCAGCGAGGAGCACAACTCCTGCTCCATCCACCACCAAACCCTGCATAAATCCCTGGGTATTCCTGGGCCGTGTTTGCTTTTTCCCAGACCAGTTTCCCAGCTAATGCTTTTCAGAGACAGGTCTGAAATTAAGATTTCCATATTTATGCGCCTATTAACATAGATACATTAAAAAAAAAAAAACTTAATGAGCTTATGTAACAAATTGCTGTGTGACACTGCAAAGGACTGGGGAGAGGATCTGTACTTAGGGAGATAAGGATGGCATTTGCAATGGCACCAGCTGGGGGAAAATTACAAGGAGCAGCAATTGCATGGCGCAGGTGGAGACTGTGCTGAGACTGCAGCCTCGAGGTGTGCGTGGGGAGCTGCCCAGAGCCTCCTGCTCAGCTCACACAGGGCACAGCCTGCACCCAGGGCTTTTCCATGGCCCAGGGACGGGATGGGGCCAGGCTCAGAGTCAGCCCTGCCTCGGTGCCATCCCACGTTGGGCAGGGAGCTCTGGGCACATCTGCAGGGAGCAGGGATGTCATGGGTTTGGGAGGCATCCAGCCACTGCTCTGTGCTGCTCCAGAGGCAATTGGTGTCCCAGGGACAGAGTCAGCCTTGCCTTGGTGCCATCCCACGTTGGGCAAGGAGCTCTGGGCACATCTGCAGGGAGGAGAGGTGCCCTGGATGTGTCACAGGTTTGGGAAGCCTCCAGCCACTGCTCTGTGCCTGCTCCAGAGGCAATTGGTGTCCCAGGCATGGCGAGGGCTCCCGGAGCTCCCAGCTCACCTCTGGGCAGCTTGGGGCAGGGTGAGCTGGAGGTTTTGTAGCTCGTAGATATGCTTTACATGTCCCTGCTTCCTGCTTGCCCGCTCTGAACAAGGAAACAGCTCAGCCCAGAAGTTTTGGGGCAGGAGGACAGGGTGCTGCTGCCGTGTGTGGGCAGTGCAGGGCTGCTGAAGGCAAGCAGGGCCTGGCAGATTGTCAGTCTGGGGCTGCTGGGGATGGAAATTCTCCTCCCCGGCTTGTGTCAAACAGGATCCTCAGCACACACCATGGGCACAGCGTGGTCCTCTGAGAACCTGAGGGAGCTTTTTAGGGAGGGAGGGCTCAGGATTTAAAAAGGAGAGTGCTCAAACCCTTCCACTCTCAGTTAGTGCAGTTTTATATGGACAATCAACAGCGTGGGGCTCTTCCACTCAGCGTCCCAGGGGCGTCCAGCAGCCCCTGGTCCCTGATCTCAGAGGTTTGGGAATGGGCAATGGGGAGCAGCCCCGTGCCCAGCTCAGTGCCACTGGCAGGGCAGTGCTGTGAGCAGCTCCCAGCCACACTGGGGCAGATTCCCAGCCCGGCAGAAAGCAGCAGGATCCCTTTGGCAGGAGGCTGCTGGGATAAACTACGCTGACAGAAGAGCGCTTTAGCTGCTGTGTTCCGTGTTTGCACAAGAGCAGTGCTCCATTGCTCTGCCTCTGCTGGCAAAGCTCCCTCGGGCCACTCCGGCTCTGCGGGGACCCGGGCTCGGGGTGCTGGGGGCGGTGTGCCAGGCTCCCTGGGGCCCTCAGGGTGGTGTGCCAAGCTCCCCAGGGCCAGCAGTGCCCGGCAGCCCGGGCTGGGCTCGGGTCACTCGGTTGCCACCCACCCACCTGGAGCCTCCCGGGCCGCCCGGCCGTGCTCGGGGCGAAGCTCCTGACCTGCTTGGAGCCCGTGTCTGCCACTGGATTTGCATCTGTGGAGCTGAGCTGCTTCTGTTTCACTGGCTGCTGTGATAGTTTTCCATCCTAATGCAGCCCGGCACAAGGAAGTGGTGACCTCGTTCCTCTCCTCAGCATCAGGGCTGGCTCTCAAAGGCACCGTCCATGTTGCACGGGTGTGACTGTCACTGTAAGAACTGCCTTCCCTGCCCTCCAAATTCCCTCTCCTGCCTTCCCTGCGCTCCAAATTCCCTCTCCTGCCTTCCCTGCGCTCCAAATTCCCTCTCCTGCCTTCCCTGCCCTCCAAATTCCTCGACAGACCCTTGTCCCACGGGTCTCCAAAGCAGAGCTCCCTGTGCCCCAGAGGAGGGCAGCTCTTCTCACATCCCCCAAGGCGTCCTTCTCTCAGCTGCTGTCCCAGGCCACGCTCCCAGCCTTGCTAGTCCCAGCTCTCTGGACACCCAGGTCACCTAAAAGCCAAATTTGGATCAGGGGTGAACCCAGGGCTGCCTTTCTGCTGAATCACGGCGTTAGGGTCAGCTTCAGAGCTTCTGTGAATTGGTTTTGGGGACAGGATGATGAACCAGGTCAGGCTGCAATGGTGCGGGCAAAAGACATCCTACACAGCATAAAACTGCTGCAAGTTAATGCCAGCTTCATCTTCAATACATTTGCATTGGTAGAGTGAATTTATACTGATTAGAGCTTTCCAGTGTTGGATTTTTGCAGGAGGAGGAAGACATTTAAAGCTGCTTGCACTGTGTTGCCTGGTGGTGTCTGGACTGTGGCTCTTAAATCCCAGGAAGCCCAGAAATGCAGATACCTGAAATGCTGCCTGAATTTACATTTGAACTGAAGCACCCTGAGTCATATTGCCTCTGTTTTGTGGGGTTTTATTAGAAGAAAAATCACCCGGACATGCCAAACCTGTGTCCCTCTGCAACCCCACCTGCATGAAATCACCTGAACGTGGATAAGAGGCTTCAAACCAGTGTGAATTCTTTCACCTCGGAGTGCTACAGGAATTGTCACAAATAATTTCACATGGAAGAAATAAATCTGTTAAAAAACCACTCGGCCCCTGCGTGTGTTTGCTAGAGAAACCAAAACCAAGTCCTTGAGAGAGCTTTTCCCCCGTTTGTGATGCGGTTCAGACTTCACCCAGTTTGATGGAGAGCTCCAGGAATAACTGGCTATTTAGAGGGATTAGGAGTTTTCAAGAAACTGGACCATGGAAGTTAGAGAGTAACTGAATATGTTGTCTTTACTTACTTAAATTGCCTACAGGGAAAATCCTCAGCTTCAACTCACATGACCCATTGTCCTGACATGAAGGTCAGTTTACTTATTTCATCACCCCTGAAGAGTGAAAGGTAACTAGAAATAAGGCAACTGACTGCTGCTTTGGAAATTCCTTCCCTCCCACTCAGGGACTGTCTGCATCTCTGCCTTATACTGTGCCCAAAATCATCTTGGAAGATGTTTAGGCGATCTTCCTCTCATGTCTGTGTGGATCTGTGGATGTACATGGAGAAGTGAGTGTTTTAAAAAAGATATTTTACACACTTGATTGATACTCTGACTGAAGGGGTTTGAGGGCTGTGGGACCCCTCAAAGGCAGGGATGGAAAAGACCCTTTGTACCTGGTGCCCATCCCTGTCCACAGAGGAACCTCCCCCAAACATCAGCATTGTGCCCCAACAGTTGTTTCTATAAAACATCACTAACCTTTATTTTTTATAATATTAATTATGTTTGTTGAGCCAAGAGCCTGTTTATCTTTTCACTTACAGGAAATAGCCTAACCAAATATATGAATCCTGAATTCACTTTTAGCATTGTGGTGTTTTGACTGTTTGGGGGTTTTGATCTTTCGTTTTGAGCCTGTTCCCTGATAAAGGGAGCTGGATTTGATTGCACACAGTCCAGCAGTGGCAGCTTTTGCAGCAACACAGCCTAACAGCTCCTGATGGACATAAAAAGGAGGGAAATTTAAAAATTCAGAGCATCTCTCCAGAATGGAAGGATCGTTCCACTGCAGGCAAAATGTCAGAGCCCTGAGGAGGCACCTTGGGGTCATTGGGCAGAGATGGGATCAGGGACCACAGCGCCCACTCCTCTCCTGCTTCCACCAGAATTGAATCCAGCTCTGGCAACTGCTGGGATTATTACCCTTGTTCTATGAATGAGCAGACTGGGGTAAATGCAGCTGCTGTCACATTTGTGGCCATCCCCTGCCTCAAGGACAGGGATGGGCTGGGAATCTGGGTGTTCCTGTGCCCTGTGCCATGCTGTGGCTGCAGGCAGGCTCCTGTGAAGTCTCTCTCTCCCAGGTATCCATCTCCTGCCACAAACCATCCAGCCTGACAGGACTTCTCGTGTGCAGAAGCCAGAGCAACTCCTCTGCAGGAGCCCCAGGCAGCTGCACCCGCTGCTGAACCTCTGCCACATGCCATGGAGCATCTAACCCAGGGCCCAAAAGTGCCTGGTGCCAAAGCCTGTCACTTCTGCCCAGCAATTGCTAAACTTCCTCTGTGCTGCAGGCTCACGGCACACCGTGGCCAGGGGACTCTGCTCCTCCAGCTCCGGAGGGAAGGAGCAGGCAGAAAACATAGCTGGGATAGTGTTTATTAAGCAAATTAATAGGCTGGGGGGAAATGAAGAAAGTGTGGGCACTTCCTTCTCGCTTCCTGCAGAGGTGAGATCGGGCAGCTGAGGCAGGATTCAATCTGGTCAGTGTAACCCCTCTGCATTCCCCATCACCTCACTTTTGGGGGTCCAGCCCACTCACAGCCCTGATGGGTGCAGACTGCACCTCCCGTACCGCTGTAGAACCACAGAATGGTTCGGGCTGCGAGGGACCTTACAGATGATGCAGTTCCACCCCTCTGCCCTGGGCAGGGACACCTCCCGCTAGCCCAGATCGCTCCGAGCCCCGTCCAGCCTGGCCTTGGGCACAGAGAACAGCGGGGCAGGTGCCCGGAGTGCCCCGGCACCAGCCCCGGGCTGCGGGAGCCTCGGGGGAGCCTCTGGCTGTTTGGGGCTCCGGGCTCAGCCCTGCCGGGGGGCACAGGGAAAGGCTCCCGGAGTCGGGGATTCCAGGGATGCTCCCGGTGCCGGCAGCGCGGGGAAACCCGCACAGAAACGCACCGCCCCCCGCATCCCCCGGGGCGCCGAGAAGGGAGGAGAAACGGCGGAACAGCGGGAAAAAAATAGATTTAAATTGTGCCGGCTGGGCTGTGCCTCGGTGCCTTCCCTGAGCGGGGGCGGCCGGGCTTGGGGAGGGGGAGGACATGGGGAGGGGATGCGCTGGGGATGCTCCGCGCCCCTCCGCGCCCCTCCGAGGGGCATCCCCTGGCACGTACGTACCGCGGCACCGGTCCGGGGACCCCCTGAGCCCCCCGGGAGCCCCCCGGCTCTGCCCCCCGGCTCTGGGCTGCGCACGGGGGTCCTGCCCCTCCGGGGGGACACCCCGGGGTGGGGGAGACACCCCGCTCTCCGCAGGAGCCAAGGCGACAATCCGGACAGGTTGCTGCAGCCTCATTAACAATACAGATATGTGTGTGTTTAAATAATTTTTTTTTTTTTTAGAGGAAGAAGGATGTAACTAATTAGCATCCCCACGCTCTCTTTTAATTGCTGCCAAATAGGAAAACTACTGCGTGTGACAGAGGCGCAGCAGTGGGCTCTGGCTCCCCTCCCGAAGCGTGTTCACGCCTGGGGGTGCTTCGTGCTCCCCACGGGAAACTGCAGCCTCGTCAAAAAGCGAGCTCAGCCCCCACGGAGCAAAGCACCTCTTCTGCTTGGAATCAGGGCATATCCTCGAAGCACCGATTTTAATATATTTATTTATTATTATTTTTCAATAAGTAACTAAAAACAGCCACCTGTCAGGAGCCACGACCCTCCCCGGCAGCTGATGGGACCCTGCCCTGCTCTGTGTTCCACAGGCGTGTCCGGGAGGTTCGCTGTCCCCGCAGCAGCCCCGGCTGCCTGAGCATCCCCGGCAAGCGGAGCGCTCCGGGAGGGGACACGCGTGGGCATCCCTGGGCAGCAGGGTGGGCATCACCGCGGAGGGGATGGGCAGTGCCCGCCCTGCCCTGCCTTCGCTTCTCTTCCCGAGCTCTGTGCCCCCCGGTCCCTGGCAGCGAGCACACAGAGAGGAGCAAGTGGATGTCCGGGAAAGTTTGGCTCAAACTCGGTCGCGTTCAGCCTCGTCTCTGCTCTCCCGGCTTGCTGTTTAGGAAGCCAAGTGCTTATTTCTGTCGCCTTGTTTAGGTAATTTCCTACACATCCCTCATCCTCTTCCACGCTTCTATTTATGAATATTATTTCTAGATACAATAAGTAATAAGAACGCTAATTAATCTTGGTGATTTTGGCCACCAAAAGGGAGGTGTTCAGGCACTGGCAATCCCAAAGAATGATAAAATCGTGTTCGTTTCTCAGCGTGACATTTCTGAGCAGGAACAAAATCTGTAATAGAAATAACCAACGTTGTTACAATTCTCCTTTGGAAGGAAGAAGAGCTGATCCCAAACCAGGAAGGCTCGACGGTTCCCTTCCTCGTTTATTTCTAAATCCATCTTGTCCCTTTAATACAAATGAACTTCAAGCTCCCCCTGTATTTTATTATTTAGATTCCTAGTCTTAATGACGCCAGGAGCAGCGCAAGCACACTCGCTAATAATCGTCGCGAACTGCATTTCAAAGAAACATCCCTGGAAGAAAAACACCGTCGTTAAAAAAAAAAAAAAATAGAGACTCCACCAAAAATGATAATGTGGAGTCGCTGATGATGATGGGCTTAATGCAACTGCTGCAAATCAGCACCTGCGTGGTAGATAAGGCAGATAACACCTCCAACAGTTACTTCCAGCACCCCCGTCCTCCTCGGGTTTATTTTTAGATCATTCATTTAGTCTGATGGAGGGGTTTACGGTGTTTGGATTTTTTTTTTTTTTTAAGTTTTAATTAGCGTTCTTGTTATTTTTCTTCCCTGATCTTTAGTGGGGGGAAAGTGAGTGAAGTGCGAACTGGTTAAATCTGTTAAATCTGGAGACGTGGGTCTGTCTCGGGCCTTTAATAGCAGCTCTCAGGCGGCTCGTCCGGGCACTGATAGCCGAGATGTCCGCAGCCAGCGCTGTCCAGGGTCAGCTTTTGTCTCTGCCACAATAAACAAACACTTGCTCCTCTCATGTAAATGAGCAGCGATCCGGATGCACCTTAAAACACTGGGAGAAGTCGTTGCTTTTGAAAACGATGTTCATTTTGTCTGACACGCATAACTGCATAGATCAAATGCCTGCAGAAAGGTAGCAATTTGGCAGGGAAGTATTTTCTAAGCTTAGATGAAAGTGTGCTCACGGCGTCCGAAAATGCCTGTCTCACCTCCCACCTGCTTCCCCAGCCCCGGGTTTGCGCGAAAAGATTAGACAGGCGGGATTTTCGTTTAAAAAGAAGGAAAAAAATTAAAATAAAAAGAAAGCGATGCGAGGAACCGGTCGCACAATTCACAGAGCCCCGGATCGGGGACGGTGAATCAGGGCTGCTTTACCTACGGGGGGTTCCACACCACTGCAATAATCTTGTCGGATCATTAAGTAAATTATACCTTAAACATTGGTAGCTTACAAGTTGTAATCAGTAATTCAAACTCTTGACAATTATGCAAATGAAACCCCGGCTGCTCTGGGACTTTCTCGCTTTCGCTACGATAACTTTTTCGGAGTTTATTTCACCCAAAAACTGCCGGGCGCGGGTGGGGGGCGCGGGGTGGGGATCAGCAAAGCGCTTCCACGCGCGGAGGAGCGGGGAGCACCCGGCGCTGCTCCAGCCCGGCTGCAGCGGGGGATGCCCACGCGTGAGCCCTTCCCCGCGGGGCAGCACCGACCCCCGCAGCCCGAGGGGGCTCCGGCTGGCGCTGCCCGCCCTCCGCGGCCGCGGAAGGAGTGGCTTGGGGCTGCGCATCCCTCCTGAGTGGCTGGCGGCCGCGGCGCCCGAGCCATCCCTGGGGAGGAGTTAGCATAATCCTATTGCCATTAAGGGCGTCTGGGCAGGGAAAAAAACCCCG